CCTCAGGCATGCAAGGCAAGCGCTCTACCACTGAGCCACATTCCCAGCCCCTCTTATCTCTAATTAACCACCAAAAAGCCAGAAGTGGAGATGTTGCTCAAGTGCCAGAGCACTAGCCTTGAGAAAAAAAAAACAAAAAACACCTCAGGGACAGCACTCAGACCCTGAGTTCAAGCCCCAGGATTGGCACAAAACCAACAACAAAAAACCTTTAGCACTCATAGGTACAGCAGCTCACGCCACTTGGGAGGCAAAGGTAAGAACATCTCAATTTGAAGCCAGCCAGGGCAAAACATTAGCAGGACTCAATGTTAAAGACCAAGCCTGGAGACTTTATTTCAAAAAACAAGACAGACATGGCAGTATACCCCAGTAATCACAGCTATGTAGAAGAGAGGAGGATTTTGGTTTGAGGCTGGCCTCAGGAAAAAGCAGCCTATATGAAAAGCAAAAAAAGGCCTGGGACATGACTTAGGTGATAGAATACCTGCCTATCAAGTACAAGGCCCTGAGTTCATCCCTGCCTCTGCTGCCCCCTTCCCCTCCCAACCCCTTCCCCTCCCAAAAAAGTATATTTCAGTACTGCCCTTGGCGAGCCGGAGTGAATTCCACAGAAGCCAGGGTTTGTGTCTAGAGATACAGGAGGTCCTTTTTCTTGACCTAAGCAATTCCAAAGGCTAGCCACTAGATGGCTGTGGGCACACATTAGTTACAGTGCTTCCCTGCAAAGAGGTCTTGCAAACCATGTGGGTCCTCACAACCACCCTAATATCCTCGGATCTTACACAGGAGGAAGCTAAGGTTCAAGCCCATTTCCAGACATATAATGTGGAAAGAGAAGCAGAGACTGTGACACCTAACCAAGAAGCATAGAAAGCCCAGGCTATAGGAACAAATCAGGTAGGATTCTCATTATGTTCTATTTATCCTTATTTTTTTTAACAGATTCAAAATACATTTACATGTACAAAAGCAGCATGTATAAAATTATAAATCTACAACTAATTTATGGTAAGAAAATGAACAGAAAATACTATCTATAGTAATTCAGGTGACGGGATTATGGGTAAATTTTTTTTTTTTGGTCAGTTGTGCGGCTTGAACTCAGGACCTAAGAACATCCTTGAGCTCTTTTGCTCTACTGGTTTGAGCCACAGCTCCACTTCCAGTTTTCTGGTGGTTAATTGAAGATAAGAGTCTGATGGTCTTTCCTGCTGGGGCTGGCTTTGAACCATGATCCTCAGATCCTAGCCTTCTGATTGTGAGTAGCTAGGATTACAGGTATGGGCTACCAGCACCCAGCTTGGTAATTTCTTTATTATATTTCCCAAGCAGAAATGACTGTTTTGTAAACAAAAACCTTAAGCAGCCTGCTCAAGAAGAGGAGATAACAATGAAGCAAGGGGCCATGGGTTGAGGGACTCAACTCTGGGCATACCTGTGGTTGTGGATCATACGGATGTCGTAGAGCCTCACGAAGGGCCCACTAGCCCCCACCGCCAAGCAGTTGTTGTCCTGAGGATTGACCGTGAGGCACTTGGCCTCCACCAGCTGGCCACAGTACTCTGTGAGGTCAATCAGCACCTCTGAGTGTTTGCTGTTCTCCCGAAGGTCATACTGGCTGTGAGAAAGGACAGTGTTAGGGGATGGAGTCCTTCTGTGGAAAGCAAGGAAGAAAACAAGTCCTTGTTCTGCAAGAGGATCAAGAGGGCTTTGGGCCTACTACAAATACACTAAAAATACTCTTGGTATCTTTTTTTTTTTTTTTTTTGGCCAGCCCTGGGGCTTGAACTCAGGGCCTGGGCACTGTCTCTGAGCTGACACTCTACCACTTGAGCCACAGCACAGCTTTTTCTGTTTATGTGGTTCTGAGGAATCAAACCTAGGGCTCCATACTGTGTGAAGGTTCTGTTATACCCTCATACAGCCCCTTAAGGTACATACTACTGTTATTTGTTTTATAGATGAGGTCCAAGAAGTTAAATAACCTGCTGTAGAGAGTGCCAAGTGGGCAGAACTTGCTGAGAATACATTTAAACTACTTTGCTGTGTTTCTCCCTAATCTAGTTTCTTTTAGAAAACAAAGGAAGTACAGAAGTGACAGCAAAAATCCAAAGGCCAGTCCCACAGTCCCAGCAGTATGGTAAAGGTAATGCTAAAATACCTGTCAGTGGCAGCAAATACCCTCTGCTCTAGACCAGGGAAGTTTGTCTGTCAATACCTAGGTGCCTTCAGAGGTGAGGGCTATCACCCATGTGCTCAGCCAAGACCTCTGTACCAAGTAACTGCCTTGCCTTTGTAAGTCATTTTGTCCAGAAAGCTCTTCCTAAAACAATTTCTCATTGCTCTCCTGCCCCCCAAATTTTAGAAATTCCTCAATACTCTTACCATGTGTTTAGTTAGCTAAATACCACACTCCACAGTTTAGCTTTCAAGACCCAATTTCAAATACTTCTGATTCTCCAGTTTTCTAAATATGGGTTAATTACAACTCAGCATTCATCTTATATATGCCACTTTTATCCCTGCCAACACAAACTACTCATGTGGGGAATCCACTGTGACTTTTCTTGTCTATCCAAATTCCGACTGTTCTGGAAGCCCCAGTTATGTTATGATAATGGTAGGATACTTCCCTGGACTTATTATGCTTATGACCTTCAGACCCCACCCAATACCCTAAATGCTGAACCTTTTCTTCTTCTTTTTTTCTGTTGGTCATGGGGCCTGAATGCTAGGTTTGGGTGCTGTCCTTCAGCTCTTCAGCTCAAGGCTAGCGTTCTACCTCTTGAGACACAGTGCCACTTCTGGCTTTTTCTGCTTATATGGCGCTGAAGAATTGAACCCAGGGCCTCATGCATGCAAGGCAAGCACTCTACCACTGGGCCACCTTCCCAGCCCCTAACTGATGGATCTTATATAGTGGTCAGTCAAGATCAATAAGTGCATTACAGAGTTAGACATACCATTGACCATGTGCTTTCTTTTCTTTTAGTCAGTCATGGGGTCTGAACTCAGGGCTGGGTGCTGTTCCTGAACTCTTTTATTCAAGGTTAGCATTCTACCACTTTGAATTACAGCGACACTTCTAGTTTTCTGGTGTTTAATTAGAGATTAGAGTCTCATGGACTTTTGTGCCCAGCCTGGCTTTGAGCAATGATCCTCAGATCTCAGCCTCCCGAGTAGCTAGGATTACAGGCAGGAGCCACCAGTGCCTGGCTGACAATATGCTTTCTGTCTAAGTACTATGTTAAGGTTTTACAGGTGCTTTTTCATCTGAACACTCAGCTCAGCAATGGAGATACTATGATTACTCCTATTTCATAGATGGAAGGCTAAGATTCAGAGAAACTAATAGTGAAGAGACTATTTCTTGTAAAACACTGTACAGAGCTATGATTTGACCCTATTTGACTTCAGAGGCTTGCTTATAACTGCTGGATATGGTTTATATACAAATGTCTATTCTCTTTAAATTAGATGGTCAGATAAGAAGTTTCTAAAGAGGGCTGGGAAGGTGGCTCAGTGGTAGAGTGCTTGCCTTGCATGCATGAGGCCCTGGGTTTGATTTCCTCAGCACCATGTAAGCAGAAAAAAAAGACCGGAAGTGGTGCTGTGGCTCAAGTGGTAGAGCACTTGCCTTGAGCTGAAGAGCTGAGGGATAGCGCCCAGGCCCAGAGTTCAGGCCCCACGACCGGACCCCCCCCAAAAAAAAAAAAAGAAAAAGAAGTTTCTAAAGAGACAAAGAGACATGGAAAGAGCCAGCTGGAAAGCCCCAGGTAGAGAAAGAAACAGCAAGTGTGAACACCCCAAGAAGCACAGACCTGGGCATCTGAGGTGGTGAGAAGCCAGCAGGCCTGGAGATAATGCAGTGGAGGGGAGAGGGAAAGGGAGGGAGGAAGGCTAGATAGGGTAAACAAATGCTCCTAGCTGTCTGTGCACATCACTGCTGCTGGCAGACAAAGGAGTCTGGAGGGGAAAATCCAGGCTGTAGGCAGATGGGATGGCAGAGCCATCAGTATTGAGCAGAAGGGACATGGGCTACTTCAGGCCCAGACCCTTACCGGATAAGCCCATCCTCGGCGGCGCTCCAGAACGTGTTTGGCCACATGGGTGCCGTGGCGATGCGCTTCACCCGGTTTGTGTGGTCTCCAAACATGTGGATAGTCTCCTTTACTGTCAGGTCATGCACATGCACCTTGGAGTCAGCCGCCCCCGTGATCAAGATACGGTCTCCAGCATGAGGCAGGAACTGTTCAGGAGAGATTGAAAAGGGGTTGGCCATGAAAGGCCACTGGCCTGGAAATCGGTATCTCCTTTCTATCTTCATATTAGACAAGAGCCCATCTAAGCGATTCACTGAAAATAAACTAACAACAATAGCCAAAAAACTTTCAGTATCAAGTAGTAGCCTATAAAGCCATAAAACAAAATCAGGACACATACTTTACTTGGCCAACGGTAGTCATGTCCTGTACCAAGTTGGGACTACCTGAGGAGCCCTTTCCCTTTGATTCTTCCCCAAGTAAGAGCTAAGTGGATAGTCATCACAGTACCATTTCCTAAGAACTTATCACTTGTTGGACACTAGGGTAGCTACTTTATCTTACTGGAAAAGATGCTTTGGCTCAAGTGGTACTATACTAGCTATGAGCAATAAAAGATCAGGAACAGTGTCTAGGTCTTGAATTCAAGCCCCAGGCTTTGCACAAAGAGGAGAGAGAGAGGGAGAGAGAGAGAGAGAGAAGGAGAGCTCCATTACTGAAGTCAAGAACACAGTATTCTAGATGATTTATAGAAAGAACAAAATACTCACAAAGATTGTATCCAATACGAAAAAAAATAGGGTACTGTTCTATTCTCTAACTTTGAGGAAGAAATTGAGGGTGGTGTAAGTTGGATTCTTTACTTTTGAGTATAGATTTAAGTGTCTCTCTCTTCTTGTTATCTGAAATGTTTCTGCCATCCCACATTGGAGCTGACTTGTAGTCTTGAAGGGCAACATAAGCCTGCATTTGAAGAGCTGCAGTCTCACTTGACTTCAAATATTTACAGAAGAACAATCCTTTTTACACATATAATTCTCAATTGCCACATGAGGACAAAGGACAGATGAAATGGACAGGATTCAATCATCTTAAGGGAAAATTAATAGTCTCTAACCCCTGTCTGGAGATAGCACGCATTCCATGAACAGCAGAAACATGATGGAGCCCCTGCTACAGGCCTGGGGCTTTTGCAACACTTGTCATATACTGTAGTTGCCACAAGGGGGAGCATGTGGTGAAATACTGTAAATTCACAGTTTTTAAGTACCTAACCTACCTAAGGTGAGAAGCATCTTTTTCCATGAGAGGGAGAGGGAGAAGGAGGGGGGGGGGAGAGAGAGAGAGAGAGAGAGAGAGAGAATGCGTGAGTATGCGTGTGTGTGTTTGTCCTGAGGCTTAAACTCAGGGCCTGAGTACTGTCCCTGAGCTTTTTCTGCTCAGGGCTAGATCTCTACCACACTGAGCCACAGCTTCACTTCCAGCTTTTTTTGTGATTAATTGGAGGTAAGAGTTTCATGGTCTTTCCTGCCTGGACTGACTTCAAACTGTGGTCCTCAGATCTCACCCTCCTAAATAGGATTACAGATGTAGGCCCCCATTTCCCAGCTTATACTTAAAAACTATAATTATCTTGCCCAAGGTCTTACATGTTAGGTCTTAACATTAGGAAGTACTGTAACTATCACCAAATTGTGGTCTCTAAACTTATGATTCCAAATGGATAGTTTAGGTTCTCCTATTTGTAGGTCTGACTACCGAGACTCAAATTAGATCTAAACTTTTCAGCTTTTTGTGGTGCAGCAGATCCCATACAAATTTGTGCTGATCATCAAAACTATAAAAAAGCAAGCTAAAGATAATCTGCTGGTCATGTAAGAAGTAACTGTCACTGTTCTGCCTCTAAAAAAACCCACAGAAATGTAGCCAGTTGTAGTGGCTCACACCTGTAATCCTGGCCACTCAGGAGGTAAGGATCAGGAGGCCACCTCAAAAGTTAAAAATAAAAAGTGAGATTCCCATTTCAACAAATAAGTTGGAACTACTTAAAAAATAAAATTATAGTAAGAAAAAAAGAAAAAGAAGCTGCAAACAGAGATTAATGCCTATGATCCTAGCTACGAGGGAGACAGACCCAAGAGATCAGGGTCCAAGGCTGAACCTTGTCTCAAAAATAACCAAAGCAAAAGAAGTATTAGGAGCATGGCTCAAGTGGTAGAGTGGAAGGCCCTGTGTACAAACGCCAGTTCTGCCAACAAAATTTTTTTAAATCATAGAAATGTATCTAGAGTAGGATGCTGGAATGGGCAGTAAAAATCAAAGCTTGTAAAAGAGGCAGCTTTAGGATCTGAGCTCTCTAATCTAGTTCATGGTTCAGACATCTTTATATTAATAAAATATTTCTTAGTTAGGCTTTCCAAAGGCCAGTCTCATTCTTATATACACTCATTTTAGAATTTCAGAGCTGGAAAGACCCTTCCTTATAAGTCACTTCCTCCAACCTCAAATCTGGTAGACAAAGTACCCAAAGAGTAGATAATTTCAGTGGTAGGACGTTTGCTACATGCAGAATTCTGTGCTACACTTTTCAAATAGCTCTAAGCATCAGACAATTCTTCCCTTCTTCAGGCCCACATGCACTTCTGTGGATTCACAGACACTCGGTCTAGGTCTGTTTTCTGGGATCAGAAAAGGATGAGCCACATGTTACTTTCATGTAAGAAGCTTCAAAGGTCTATAAATCACTTTCAAACTCTTTCTCAGCTCAACTTCCCTCAACAAGTCAAAGATTTATTTCCTATGAATAGAACACCTAGAAGTACCAAGGCCAGATGGTTTAAAACTCAATTACACATACACACATACGTACTACTAGGGTTTGAACTAAGGGCCTACTCCAGATCTCATACTCCTGAGTAGCTAGGACTGTTTATTACAGGCATGCTAGTCTCAATTATATAATTGAACTAAAAGTTAATCTGTGAATTACTACTTTTTGTTGTTATTGTTGATCATGGGGCTTGAACTCTGGGTGTGAGCGCTGTCCCTCAGCTCTTCAGCTCAAGGCTAGCATTCTACCACTTGAGCTACAGTGCCACTTCCGGTTTATTGGTGATTTACTGGAGGTAAGAGTTTCATGGACTTTCCTGCCTGGGCTGGCTTTGAACCACAATCCTCAGATCTCAGCCTCCTGAGTAGTTATGATTACAGGCATGAGCCACCGGTGCCCAGTTTACTACTACTACTATTTTTTTTTTGGGTCCGGTCGTGGGGCCTGAACTCTGGGCCTGGGTGCTGTCCCTCAGCTCTTCAGCTCAAGGCTAGCGCTCTACCACTTGAGCCACAGCGCCACTTCCAGCTTTTTTCTTTTTGCTTATATGGTGCTGGGAATCGAACCCAGGGCCTCAGGCATGCAAGGCAAGCGCTCTACCACTGAGCCACCTTCCCAGCCCCACTACTACTATTTTTTAAATTAAGTGATCTTTTTTTTTTGTTGTTGTTGGTCTTGGGGCTTGAACTCTGAGCTTGGGCACTGTCCCTACACTCTTCAGCTCAAGGCCAGTGCTCTACCACTTCAACTACAGTGCCACTTCCGGTTTTCTAGTGGTTTATTGGAGATAAGAGTCTCATGGACTTTCATGCCCGGGCTGGCTTTGAACCACAATCCTCAGATCTCAGCCTCCTGAGTGGCATGAGCCACTAGAGCCCAGCTAAGTGATCTTTTTCCATTTGTTCATAGGGAGATTTTCTTTTTCTTTCCTTTTTTTTTTCTTCAGTCATAAGGCTTAAACTCAGGGCCTGGGTGCTATCCCTGAGCTTTTTTTGCTCAAAGCTATCTCTCTACCACTTGAGCCATAGCGCCACTTCTGTTTTTCTGGTGGTTAATTAGAGATCAGAGTCTCCCAGATTTTGCTGCCCAGGCTGGCTATGAACCACAATCCTCAGATCTCAGCCTCCTAAGTAACTAGGATTACAGGCATGAGAGACTGGCACCCAGCTCACAAGGAGATTATCTTTAGCCACTTAAAAAAAAACACACACACAACAAAAGAATAAACATGCTCCAAGAGTTCAGGTCACAATTTTCAAGAGGCAAAAAAGGAATTCAAACCCAGTACCAATCTGCTTCTGAAGTTCATGCTCAGAACCATTCCTTGACATTTCCACTCACATTAATGCAGAGAGGAAGATGATCATGGAAAAGAGATGGGGTTTCAAGCATCACTATCAGTCACTCAGACCACAGGTTTCTGTGACCCCAAGGGAATACATGGGACAACACATTCTAACACAGGCATGCTCACAGCCCAGTCATATTTTTCACTTGCTCTGTGGCTTGTCCTGCTCACCTTGACAGAGAAGATATTTGCAGTGTGTCCAGTGTGCATGGAGAGCAGCTTCTTGTGGTGCAGCGGGTCCCACACAATCGTGTGCTGGTCATCGGAACCAGAGGCCAGCAAGCTGTGGGCAGAGTCAGGGGCCTTGACTTCTCAAGTTCTCCAACCCCCCTCCTGCCTTCCATATTTCCAGCTAATAAGCAGTAATTAGGCCACAGAGAACTTGAAGGGCAGACATCAAAGTTACCTTGTAAACATTAGTAGGTTCTCTAATATTTTGTTCTAAGAATTTTCCTCTCTAAACATATTGTTGTGTGTGTGTATGTTCGTAATAGTACTAAAACTCAGGGCCTTGCATTCTCACTTGGCTTTTTTGGCCAAGGCTGGCACTTTACCACTTGAGCCACTTGAGCTTTTCATTGATAAATTAGAAATAAGAGTCTGTCCAATTTGTCTACCTGGATTTGTGTGACTTCTAGCCTCAGATCTCAGCCTCCAGACTAGTGTCTGATGAACACACTGTCTTATTATAAAAAACGGGGCTGGGCATCAGTGGCTCACACCTGTAATCCTAGCTATTCAGGAAGGTGAAATCTGGAGGACTGAGGTTTGAAGCCAGCTTTGGCAGAAAAATCTGTGTAGCTTTTTTCTGGTTAATTAGAGACTAGGCTAGAAGTATGGCTCAAGAAGTAGAGCATCAGCTGTGCGCAAGCAAGAGAGTGAATATAAGGCCCTGAGTTCAAGCTCTAGTACAGGCAAACAAAAGAAAGTCCACATGACTGGGTTTGGGTGGTTATCCAGCCTTCTGTCTACCTGGGTTAATAGTTTAAGTGTGTGTTATTATAACTATGACAGTTATGGGGTAGACCATAAGAGCAGAGAACAGCTGTTTCTTTTCATGAGGAGAAACTCCCTTCTCCCAACCTCCTCCCCCTCTCCCCCTTTTTCAGCACCTTCTAGCTCATACTTACTCTCCTTTCTCATTCCACTCCAGACAGTTGACACATCCCGAGTGACCCTGGGGGAACAAATGGAGAGACAGCTGGTTAGATTCTCCAGGGTAAGTCAACACTGGGAAGGGGACAGGCCTTGTAATCTCACTAGACACTGAGGTACAAAAGGCATGTTTTATCGATCCCATTTTGCAGAAAAGTAAACTGAAGCTTTGATAGTAATGCGTAATAGAAGTAAGATTAAAAACCATTTTGCTCCTGCCACTAGAAGGGACATGTCAACAGTTCCTTCAAGGGACAAGCTCATCAGGAATAGAAAGTTTGCTTTCAGAGGAGTATGTGATCAGTGGGCAACCAAATAATGAGGATTAGCTTCCATTCATTTCAAGTACTTTCTGCATGCCAGATAGAGCTCAGATGCTGGGGTGCACCAGTGTGTGAAACAGAGCCTCTGGTCTTCTGAAGCTTACTTCAAGAAGGTAGAGAAAGAGAGCTTGGTGCAGAAGGGAAAACTGGGCTAATCATGATCTTGAGGATTTGAACTGAGGAAAAAAGAGATATTATAATAGTTAATAGCAGATGCTAAAGTTGAAAGTGAGCAGTGAAGTTTGGGAATTCATGAATAAGCAGGAGCAGATACAAAGCTACTGTTCTGTCCGGCACCTTCCCTTCTTCCTAACAGCACTGTGACTTACATTTAGTTATTATCTTCCTGCTCTAAATCAGTTTCAGGAAGCACAAGTATATTATCCTTGCCACAGTGATGGTCTCAGAAACTCAGGCCTAAACCAAATGTATATGACATTCACTTGGCTACCACAATTGTCTCTATAGTGAACCTGTGATTCCAGATGCAAGGTGAAACAGGTACTGGAAGCTTCTGGAAAAAGTTTTTGATTCTTAGGAACAAATCCATGGAAGAAATACCTTTCTTCCTCTGACTGCTGGAGATATGGACTGACTCCTGGAATTGCTGCACACATTTTGCCACCATGAGGAAAGTTAGCCTGAAGTTAACACACAGGGGAGATCTTACCCAAGAGAATCAGAGAAAATGGAATCGACAGACCAGAGTAACCAACCATGACTCCTATCTACTTCTACTCTTTTAATCAAGTGAGCCAATCAAGTTCACTATCGTTTAAGGGAACTTAAGTTAGGCTATTACTTGTGACAGTTTCAACTCCTCTTCAGGTCTGTGTGCATTATGGCTCTGTATCAAGGAGGCTGTTTCCTGAGAAAGGATTTGTGGATTATGTTGACTATATCTCCAAGACCAGGCCCAGTACAAGGCAGATAGGTCTCTGTTATGAACTGATCAAAGGAGTCCACTGGAACCAGAGGAAAGAATTGAGAGATATGGACAAACCTAATTTTCCAACTGTCTAGTTAGGAAAGGTTGTTCCTCTCATCTTTCTCTCATTCCCTTTGCCCTGTAAAGATCCTCATCTGGTTCTTTTCTCAGATGCTCCACTTACCTACCTGACTGACACATTCTCTGCTCAAACCTGCCTTGCTACTTGCTTACCTGAGATCTCTTGCCTTCCTAAGTACTGGTCAAAACCTATATATATCTGGTTGGTTACTTGCCTCAGAATCATGTCTGTCTGTATTCCTCTTATTTTTCCATCAGGCTCTAAATTACTTGTGCCCAGGAGTCACAGCTCCAACTCTGAATCTCCCAGAGCACTGAGAACCTTGAATGACTGCCACTTACTGAGGTGTTTTCAAAGAGCCAGGCATAGGGCTAGGCTATGTTGAGCACTTGTGGTAGGCAGAATAATGGCCCCCCTACAGATGTTCTGCCCTAATTCTCTGAGACCTGTGAATATGTTATTTCAGGTGGCAAAAGGGACTTTGCAGATGTGATTAAGGCTAAGGACCTTGAGATGGAGAGATTATCCTAGATTATCCAGTTGGACCCAATCTAATCCCAACCATCCTTAAAAATCAGAGACCCTTTCCTAGCTGCAGAGAACTAGAGGGATGGAGGTGCAAAAGGGACTCGACTTACTGTTCCTGGCTTAGAAGAAAAAGCCAAGAGTCTTTTCCTCTAGAAATTGGGAACAACAAGAAAAGAGATTATTCTAGACTAAAGAAACAGTCCTGGGGCTGGGAAGGTAGCTCAGTGGTAGAGTGCTTGCCTTGTATGCATGAGGCCCTCAGTTCGATTCCTCAGCACCACATAAGCAGAAAAGGCTGGAAGTGGGGCTGAGGCTCAAGAGGTAGAGCGCTAGTCTACAGCTGAAGAGCTGAAGGACAGTGCCCAGGCCCAGAGTTCAGGCCCCACAACCGACAAAAAACAAACAAACAAGCAAAAAAAAAAAAGAAAGAAACATAGTCCTGCCAACAACTTGCTTTTAGCCTAGTGAAACCTGTCTGACTTCTGATCTACAAACTGAAAGCTAATAAATTTGTGTTGTTTTTAGGTCACTAAGTTTGTGGCTTTATTTTTTTAAAAGTCACAAACTAGAAATAATCTAAAAAGCCAACAGAATGGATAAGCAAACTGTGGTATATGAGTGTAGCAGAGTCCCTTTCAGTAATATAAGAGAATGAGAATGAGATACACATAACAGCATGGATGCAACTCAAAAAGCTCTGAACACAAAAAGCCAGACACAACAAATATACACTACGTAATTCTATTTATATGAAGTATCAGAAAGGGCAAAACTATCTTATTGTGGTGGCAGCCACACAACTGTCAAACGTCATGATCTCAATTCTGAGACCTATGCACTTTATTTTAGGACATTATACCTGGATTATGAACCCAGAAAGGTTGCAGTAACTGCAACAGTAGTAGCTAATACACACTGAGCACTATTTCACTGTGCATCAAGCATGGTGCCCTTCATATGTACTCTACAGAATCTTATGATGGAAATACCACTACTATTCTTTTTCTGATGACAATAAACTTTAATGTATAGAAGGTACTATACTAAGTAGCACAACCAGAATGTGAGCTCATGTCTGACAGAGTCAAGCTTGGCATATTTTTCCTCTCTACCAGAATTTGATCTTAGAGCTTCACGCTTGAACTTGCTTGCTTGTACATACAACCTCCAGCCAAGCTCCCAATGGCTAATTGGAGATAGAGTCTCATGGTTTTTTTAGCCCAACCTGGCTTCAAACCAAGATCTTCCGGATCTCATCTCCTGAATAGCTAGGATTATAGGTATGAACTACTAGCACTTGGCTCAAGGTTGGCTTTTCACCATGATGCCACACTGATTTTTGAAACTTAAGAACTCTCCCTCTTAAAACTTAATAACTGCTATGTGCCACCATTTACTGGGTTTAGGGAGACACAACTGGGTCAGAAAGATAAACATCTTGTCCTTATACAGTTGGTGAGATTTAGTTTTCTCTCAGTGCTTATTTAGTTTTCTCTTGTGTTACTATGCTCTCTTCATAAGGTTCACTACAGATGAATATAGAATATTCTTCCAAAGGTTAATGTTTATCCATCTCTCTCTCTGTTGTAAATTTACATTAGAAGACATGAAAAGGAACAATTTAAATGTATTTCAGGACTGGAGATGTACCTCAAGTGGACCAGTGCTTTCCAAGCAAGTGCAAGGCCCTGAACTCAAATCCCAGTGCTGAAAAGATTTTGGCTAGGTGATGGCTGAAGACTTTTGGTGCATCCTCAGTACTTGGGAGGCTGCAGGAGGATCAGGGGCTCAAGGCTACCTTGGGTAGCACAGTAAGATCTCATCTCAAAACAATAAAAAAACCACATATACTTTTTCAACTAGTTCATTTTAGCTAAAAATTCTAAACATTTTTAAGTATAGTAGGTCAAGGCCTTACTAACTCATAACAGAATAAGGTCTCTTATTCAATCTTTCAACTGTTATATGAGCATGATGAGCAGTTTGAATACTGAGAGGGAACAAATCAAAGATCTGAAGGAAAAGCATTCCAGGTATAAGGAAGCTCCTACACAAAGGTAGGGAAAAGCTTTGCATGCTACACAATAGTATGAAGACAACTGCACAGACCACACTGACAAAGGGAACATAGGAAGATGAACAAAGTGGGCTTGGGGAGGTAAATAGAGGCTGGAATCCAAGTGCTATGGAAAGATTCAAGAGGCCAGGGATTGTTGAACTTCATTTTATAGTCATCTCTTAATTTACAGTACATTGCTAGGTACCCATTATTTATCTCACTATAGAAGCAGATTGATGATTGGCTACTACTTTGGTTTTCAGGTGCTTTAAGGAATTAATTTACTGAATTACCTAAAGGAGTGGCTGACAATTTTTTGAAGGGCCAGCTAGTAGATATTTTAGGCTTTGTGTGCCATATGGTCTCTGTCTGAATTACTCAATTCTGCTGCTGAATCACTAAAGCAGACAGACAATACATAAATGAATGAGTGTGGCTGTATTCCCATAAAACTTTATTTGTAAAAACAGGTGGCACGAGCCTTGAAACTCATGGAAATGCAAAGAACCAAGAATATCCAAACAACCTTGAAAAAGAATGAAGTTGGAAGATATACTTCTAACTTCATAACTTGCTACAGAGTGGTACTGGCATACAAGGACAGACATTTAGATCAATAAAGCAGAGTTGAAAGTTCATAAATAAGTCTATATAGTTACAGTCACTTGGTTTCTGGTAAAAGTGCCAGACAATTCAGTAGAGAAAGAGTTTTCAATAAATGTGCTGGGACAATAGGCTATTCACATGCAAAAGAATATACACATACACACATATATTTACTATGTATATAAATAACAATATCATATATAAAAGGAATATAGAATGAATCAAAGATCTACATAGAATATAGACAATAAAATACTTGAAGGAAAACCAGTATAAATCTTCATAGCCTTGAGTTATCAATGGTTTTTCAGATATAACATCAAAGGCCCAAGGGACCAAAGAAACTTTAACAATTTTTTTATATCAAAGGCAAGATGAAGAGGGTGAGGTGTGACTCAGTGATAAAGCACATGTCTAGCAAGTGTCAAGCCTTGAGTTCAAACCCAAGTACTGCCAGAAAGAAAAGAAAAAAAGAGGACACAGAAGAGTAGCATATGTGAAGATGAAGATAATGAATGGATGCCAGGGGCCACCCACACTAGAGCCTTTGGAGAAGGCAAGCCTCCTTTGATTTTAGACTTCTGAACTCAAGAACTGTGAGGGGGGCTGTGAGGGAAGGTGGCTCAGTGGTAGAGCGCTTGCCTTGCATGCATGAGGCCCTGGGTTTGATTCTTCAGCACCACACAAGCAGAAAAAGCAGGAAGTGGCGCTGTGGCTCAAGTGGTAAGAACACTAGCCTTGAGCTGAAGAGCTCAGGGACAGTGCCCAGGCCCAGAGTTCAGGCCCCATGACCAAAACCTCCAAAAAAACCAAAAACAAAATGAAACAAAAAACTGTGAAGGGGCAAATGTCTTATTCATTTATTTTGGCAGTACTGGGTGTGCTCCGAACCTCATGCTTGCTTAGGCAAGCATTCTACCACTTGAGCCATACCTCCAGCACCTTTGTCTGTTATTTCAAATCAACTAACAGCAGCCTCCAAAAGGATCCTCCTAAGAGGAAAGCAGAAAGGTCAGAGTCAGAGTGAGAAGACTAGGAGACTGCACTGTTGGCACTAGAGAGGGAGGAAAGAACTACAAGATAAAGGATTCAGGGTCTCTAGAAGCTACAAAAGGTGAGACATGGATACTTCCATAAACCTCCAGTAGGGACCTGCCTGCAACATCTGGAGGCCTGCCTGTCAGATTCCTGCCTTCAGAACTGTGGGTTGTTTTGTTATAGCAGCTACAGGACACACATACATACTATCATCATGGTTTTCATGTCCAGTGTCATGATGGCCTAGTACTTAGAGCAGTTGCTCACAGCCTAGCCTCACTTACTCTAGATCTTAAGAGTAACTTTGAACTAGGAAGGTGGCTCAGTGGTAGAGTGCTTGCCTCGCATGCATGAGGCTCTGGGTTTGATTCTTCAGCACCATATAAACAGAAAAATCCAGAAGAGGTGCTGAGGCTCAAGTGAGGTAAAGAGCTGAAGGATAGCACCCAGACCCATAGTTCAAGCCCCACAACTGACCAAAAAAAAAGAGAAGAGTAACTTTGTTGCTCATAGCCTGGCCTCAGTCCCTTTACTCAGTCCAGCCAGACTATCACAAGTCTAAAGGTGACCCACAGATGGACTCTGAACCCTTGTTTCTTCCCCCAACCTTTTACTTTTGACTTTTTTCCTCCCAATCACAAGTATCACGCATGTTGTATAATCAACCTGCAGACCAGAGGAAAGGTGGAATTGTAAAATGTCACACTCAGTGCCACATTCAGCCTTTCACATGTATCTCTCTGAGTGGTTTCATTTTAAGTTAGCAAAATTATATCTGTCAGTCTTCCTTTGAATGATCAGAGCATCTTGCTGAGCAGGGCTTGTTTTCTATGGTGACAACTAGCTGGTATTGAGTATGGTCACCACCCTGCTGTAAGAAGAGAATTCTCAGTGGATTGAGGACTCCATCCAGCCCTGGGACAAACCCTGTTCCACACCAACCCTGTCAATCTTTACTTGGCTTAAAAGTAGTAGTCATTTAGCAACTGCTTAATAGCTGAATATGGGATCCTGAAGTTCTATTCCTGGATATATGCTCAAAAGAATGGAGTATAAACAAATGCATGGATATTCATGTTCATGAGAAAAAAGATAAGAAAAGTACCAGTGTCCATTACAGACTGATGGTCACAAATGTCAATACACTAAAACATCACTAAGCCATAAAAAAAAACAAGGTTGGCTGGGAATGTGGCTTAGTGGTAGAGTGCTTGCCTAGCATGCATGAAACCCAGAGTTCAATTCCTCAATACCACATAAACAGAAAAAAGCCAGAAGTGGTGCTGTGGTTCAAATAGTAGAGTGCTGCCCTTCAGCAAAAGAAGCTCAGGGATAGTGCCCAGGCCTTGAGTTCAATCCCCAGGAAAGACAAATAAAAAACAACAACAACAACAAAAAACCCCAAGGCTGTGTGACATATATAAAAATACATGAAAAAGTATTTTATCAAAATACAAAACAGAAAATATCGTAATAAAACATGATGCCCAGCCCTGGTGGCTTATGCCTGTAACCCTAGCTATTCAGGAGGCTGAGATCTAAGAATTTTGGTTCAAAGCTAGCCAGGGCAGGAAAGTCCATAAGCCTTTTATCTCTAATTAATCACTGGAAAACCAGAAGTGGAGCTGTGGCTCTAAGTGGTAGAATGCTAGCCTTGAGCAGACCAAGGTCCTGAGTTCAAGCCCAAGAACTGGAAACAAAAACAAACAAACAAACAAAAAACCTAAAAAACAAGAGCAAATCCTATTTACTAGCTATATCCCTCAAAGCATTGCTTAAGACTAAAATGAGAAAGTATACATATATTATGTATGTTTGTATATGAAAACCCCATAAATTAAAAATTCCCATATGTAGGTAAGAATCTTGACTATGCCAATAGTTAAAATGGTGATATGGAATTCAAAAGACTTTTCCAGCCATGAAGCAAGTAATATATTCAAAAAATAATTTCTATGTGACCATGTAGATCACTAAACTAGATTTGTATTTAGGGGCTGGGAAGGTGGCTCAGTGGTGAGTGCTTGCGTTGCATGCTTGAGGCCCTGGGTTCAATTCCTCAGCACTATATAAGCAGAAAAAGATGGAAGTGGCGCTGTGGCTCAAGTGGTAAAGCGCTAGCCTTGAGCTGAAGAGCTCAGGGACAGTGCCCAGGCCAGAGTTCAAGCCCCACCACCAACCAAAAAAAAAAAAAAAAAGATTCGTATTTAGCTGCATAATAGAAATGCCACAAAAAATGCCATAACCTTTAGGTATGATCTGTAGAAGAAAAACTTGTCTTTGCCTTGAATGGAAAACAGGTAGGGTACAAACTAGAACTCTTACCTGCAGCTCTGCTTCTAGGCCTAGCCGCCGGATAAAGGGGTCAGTGACATGGTAGCGCCGTTCAAAGCTCAGGGCACCCCGCTCCTAGAGAACAGAAACAAACTCATGGTTTCCTTGGTTCAACTCAACATGATATATTGTATACTTTTCCTATATCCAGTCCTGTGCTGGGCACTATAGGATCCAGAAAAAATAACAAGAAATTGACCTGTAGGAGTTTGTACTACTCTGGGCAAGGGTTAGAACCTAACAGAAAAGCACAAACAATTCAGTACTCAGTTGTACTTTTTAAAAATAAAAATGAGCTAGGAGCCTCTGGCTCATACCTGTATTCCTAGCTACTCAGGAGAGGATATGAGGATTGAGGTTAGAAGCCAGCCCAGGCAATTCTGTGAGACTCTTATTTCCAACTAACCACCAATGAGCTGGAGATGGAGCAGTGGTTCAAATGAAAGAACAGCAGCCTTAAGCAAAAAAAATTAAGGGAAAGTGCCCAGACCCTGAGCTTAAGCCCCAGTATTCACACACAGAAACAAAGAAACAAAGAAAGAAAGAAAGAAAGAAAGAAAGAAAGAAAGAAAGAAAGAAAGAAAGAAAGAAAGAAAGAAAGAAAGAAAG